TCCTCGCATAGTTTGGAATACCAATCTATTTTCGTTTTGATAGCGGAATACCACTCGTCTGAAGTTCGATCATTTTCTTACACAAAAAACTATAAATAGCAAAACTTTTTTTAGGATCAAAGGGATTGCTGTATATCGGTGAATACACACGCCGTTGGATTCTTTGCACCCTATCAACCCTATCCGTACACTTCAGCTACACGAAAAATCCCTTCCTTAATATCGGAAGTCGATGTCGAGGATATCATTATTAAGTAGACGCACCACACCAGGACCAGCAAGCTTACATTTGAATGCCAGGTCGTTGAAATATGACTTGTTCGTGGATGAAGCAAAATTGATCACGCGTGAGATGAAGCTTCGTCATTTACTCCTTCATTTCTTGATCGGGTTCGAAGTACAGTCATTCGATTTGGTGGCAAACATTCACTTATATCCAAACGGCAGTCACCAACCCGTCGTCAATAACTTATTTCGGTTCCATTTTTATTAACTCAACTTTGTTTTCATTCTCCGGAGCTTGCCTCGAAAGGTTCCCCATCCAAACATTTTCATCGGCTGTGCCGTAACTATGTGACTAATTATCCCTCTCAATTTTCTGAATCCCGATGAATACTTCTATTTTTCGGTATGCAATTTTCCGGTGGACTGCCAAAAGACGTAGGAAATCCTCTTTTTGTCTACCCGCCTACCAAAAACCTTTTTCATTTCAGATCTTAAAAGTAAGTGTATGTATTTTAGACACGTTTAAATTCATTGCCAAAATAACCGTTGAAAAGAAAAAGTTTCGTGATTTGCCTATGGACAGAATACTTCCAGGTTGCCTAGGCCAAGGCCACTCACACATTCAATATTCAAAATAACTGCGCTCGTGCCTTCACTACATTGCTTCCCCCCTCCTCCGCCACGGAAGAACACTTTCCTCAGTGTTTCGTACAAATTGGTCATTGTTGTACTTGTTTTCAACGCGTGATGAAAAAAGATGTAGACGGTTTTTTCGGAGAGGTGAGACAGTAAACTGTGACACTGGACATTTTAGCACTCACTGAACAAGGTCAACATGCACGCTCCGAAAGCACGTTAATTTCAGGGAACGACAAACTCGTTTGTATTTATTTGCACAACCAACCCATGACGAGTAAATGTTTACACTGAGAGGACAAATGACAGAGCGAAAAACTTTGTTAACAACAACAAAGAAAAAGCCCATTAAACTTACATAAATGAGAAGTTTAGTTACTTTTGAAAGATTGAATTTGAGCAATAGGAGAATATTGTAGTTGTTTTCATTTCTTACGTTCAGCGCACATAAGGCGACTTATCTGTTGGTAGCCCGCATTGTATACCGCTATCAGTCTGTTGAACAAAGCCTTTATTCTAGGTCATTCATTTGTCATAGTCGGACAATTGCGATATTAGCCAAACTCACAACAACTGCGATCAAATGTACTAGTTAAATTGAGACATTAGATAACAGAAGCCCTCAGCATTTATTTGCTTACCCGGGACGGGGGGGGGGTTGCTACATAATGCGACTAAGAAGAAATAAATTGGATAACTATTAGCACCTTGGCTAACTTGGCAAGATTTTCCCCAGTACGTTCTGATCCTTCAAGCTTCATGCATTTCTTAGAGCTCTTGTCCAGGTCTTTGACAATTTGCTCTCGTTCAGCGGTCAGCTTCGAAATAAGTGGTAGAATATCAGCAACCCTAGAGAAAAGCACGAATTAGTTGATACAATGAGACTGTACTCACTAAAATGACAATAGCTTACTTTTTCAGCGGAGGAAGAAAATAGCGCGAATCCAGTTCTCGCTAAAAAGAGAAGAGTTTGGTCAATTAGATCCAAATTTGGTAAGCATGCACACACAAAGTTATCATGGGCAGTCTGCGCCTCTTTGAGAATACCCAGTGCAGAGGATAAAGGTCGTACGTAACTGTGACTGAATGCTTCTGTTTTATTGAACAACGAGGGAAAATGTTCCTCAGTCCGGAATAAACCTAAAATAGGATGCGGACACAGATCCACAAAAGGTGTATTTAGTTGTTCTTACTTTGGTAACGAGCGATTACCTGTTCCAGTTCGGCAGTCATTGACTGGAAAATCTGTGAAACACTGAATTACGAGAATTACAATTAAAAAAGCAGCACGTACTGATCGACAGGCATGTTGAAGGAGTGATCTGAAAACAGAAAAAAAACCTTAAATAAGATTCATTAAATATGATGCACATTTATTTTA